TATTACAGTTAAAGATGTTAATAGTAATAATTCTAACCAAATTATAATAATGCCACATATACAACAGCCTGTCCAGGAGTGTCCAGCAGGGGGCGACAGTCAGAAAGTGGTGCTGTGACAGTGAAACACTTCCGGTTTGAATCAGCTGTTAAACAACAACACGAAGGAGTCACGTGTTCGATTCTCTTCGTTCAGGTAACATCATGTTTGTCCTCCGGACCGCGGCGCTCAGCGGCAGAGCTGTGACCGCCCTGAGGAGCCTGTCCGCCGGCTACACGACCTCCAGTGTTCCCGCTGAGTTCATCCAGGGCCAGAGCCCGGAACCACGGATCCGAGAGTACTTCTACTACATAGACCACCACGGACAGGTGGGGGGGTACACACAGTACTGCACTAAATATTATAAGAATCATAATAGTTGATTTTCATTAATATAATTATAACACCGTTTGTTTGCAGCTTTTCCTCGATGACACTAAAGTGAAAAACTTTGTCACCTGCTTCAAAGGTAAAGAATGAAAATACTCAATAATATAAGTTTATTTTTTTATGTTAAAGTTAATGGTTGAACTGTCAAATCTCAAATGTCAATTGAAGTTCTTTATAACAAGGGTTTTAATGAGGACATTTAAAGAGTCATCGTCATGTATATGAATGTTTTTACTCCTTATGTCAGTCAGTGAACCTGACACACTCTCATGAATTTAAACTTCAGGTTTCAGTCATTTAAAACCTCTGTGTTCATCAGATAAACAGTTCCTGGTCTTCTTCTTCAGTCGCCTGCGTTCCAACCAGAGCGGGCGATACGAGGAGGACTTCCCCTTCCTGTCCCTGTGCGGGAGGGAGAGGAACTTCCTGCGCTGCGATGACCGACCTGTGGTCTTCACCCACCTGATGCAGACTCCCGCAGGGCCCCAGGGGATGATGGGAGACCAGGAGCTGCTGTCGTACTGCGGCGGAGCGGAGAAGCTGGCCGTCCCCTTCCGCCCTGAGGCTCTGTACATGCACCCCATCAGCGGACGAGTGTATCACCCCTGCTCTGAGCGCTCGGGCGCCGTTGGCCTGGTGAGGTCGGCTCTGGCCATCGAGCTCAGCCCGTTCTTTGTGTATCCCTCAGAGCAGAACCAATCAGAACAGCCCACACACTTCCTGTGGGGAGGACGGAAACACACGCTGACCAATGAGCTGGCAGGAGGCTACCCCTCGGCAGAGGAGGGCAGCGGGCAGCAGGGAGACCTGGGATAAATGGATAACAAGTACTTTAAGAAACATTCTCCTGTTCATCCACATACATCAGGACCACAGTGTCCCACATGGTCACGGTGAGGTTGTTACTGAGCGAAGCTTCGACTGACGTGTCCTGAGAAGAGGAATGTCGTTCACTGACGACTCAGAGAATATGAAGCAGATTTCATCGGTTAAATCAGTGATAAGAAACATTTTGAACTAGATTTTTCATCATCATCCATCAATATCTCCTGGAAAATGGTGAAAAACATCCTCCTCGTCTCACAATGCTAAAGAAAGTGAAACAAAACCTTGATACACACGCGAACCACAAACTTCCAGGAAATGTTGTGTTGTTTTCATGTGATCTTGCTTAAAAACAAATAGAAAAGTAGGAGAACTTGATGAAGGTAAATATAAAACTGAAGATAAATCTTACGTTGAATAAATAAGAAACTGAGCATCTGGTTTTCTTCTTTTATGTCACAACAGGTGGAATTTTACTGCAGCTCTAGTTGTTCCCTGAAAATTAAGTAGCTTATGACTTTGACTCTTCACTCAGCTCAATAATTAAAAGGATTCGTGTTGTTTAAACTTCAGAAGTAACAGAGAGACGATACAATATATTTTAATACTCAACCTTAGCCTGCAGTGTGTGAACTTAGGACTGATTCATTCTCATTTGTTTCCAGTGTTAAATGACGTGTAGACTACAGGCAGTGGGGGGAGAAAAGTACTTTTACTTTGCAACTGCACCAAAGTACATCTTTCATGCATCTGTACTTAACTAGTAGATTTTTACTTTTCTACCCCACTGCATTTCTACAAAGCGTCATATCACATTTCAAACAGTGAAAGTTCTTCTGAGTTCAGTGAATGAGGATAAAATATAATATTCAGTTATTTAAATTCATATTTACTTTTTATTCACTGTGAAAAGTTTGTAAACACACATCCTGCCCGTCAGCCCTGAGATGTTAGTGTGTGTGTTAGTATGTATTAGTGTGTGTGTCATTGTGTGTCAGTGTGTGTTAGTGTGTATTAGTGTGTGTGT